TTTAGTATGGCTACCTAGCTGTCCCAACAGGAAAGCCCATCATTTTCCCTTTCCTATCTGAAATACTTCCATTATTATATACCAAGCCAATATGTTTGGCTCTATGCCTGACCTTTATAATCTGTCTGTTGATCCATCTGTTTATGCCCCAGGACAATACTGGTTTTATTATTATAGCTTTATAATTTAGAATTCCTGGTAGATTAGGTTGCCCCTTACTGATATTTTTTTCTATTTGCTAGTTTATATTTTATATGATCTTTAGAATCAGGATGCATAGCCTCCTCCATCAGCCTGCCTCTGACAATTTGCTATTTTTAGAGATCATGTTAAATTTATAGATTACCTTAGGGAGAATTGAAGTTTTTATGATGTTGCATTTTTCTGTCCAAGAACTGTTGTGCCTTTCCCTTTACTCAAGTCTTTTGTGTGTTTCCCTCAGTAGCTACTTAAAAAATGTTCTTTATATAGATCTTATATCTTTATACATATTTTATGTCTGTCACTTTTCTAAATAAGATTTTTCATTCTATCTCCTATCTAGTTGTTATTTGTATATGAAGGCTTTTGATTTCTTGTATTAGTTTTATGTCTAGCAATCTTACTGAATTATCTTATTATGTAAGAGTTTTTCAGCTGATTTTCTTTGGTTCTCTAGATAAACGGTGCTATCATCTGCAAATGGTAATAATTTTACCTCCTACCTCCCAACTTTTTTAACCTCATATTCTCTCTGACTTAACAGGAATGCTTTTAATATCCCCCTTAAGCATTATGTCCCCAATTATTTTTCACTTCGTAAAAATCCTTTTCAATTCCTACCAGGAATGATTCTCGCCCCACTGTCCATCTTAATTGCTTCACACTTTCCAGTCACACCTTGCAGAAACCCAAAAATAAAAAGGCCCAAGCTAGCGAGGCCATCCTCACAGTCACCAGCTGCTGGGGGCTTCCACTCATTTGCCTCTGAAAGAGACCGATCATCTCTCATTTGCAGGGCAGCCCAAGAAGTAAGCCTCCTCTAAGTCATTTCTCTCTGCTTATAGCAGTGGAGCTACCAAGGGTGAGATGAGCAGGTTGAAAGGCCTCTGAAGCCCTGATGGGCACAGCGCTCTGTGATAAGTTCCACCTCGCTTGAGCTCATCCTCCACCAGCAATCAACTGCGTGGCTGCTGCTCAGAGGCTCTAGGTGCTGTGCTGTTCACTGCCCTCGCGTGTCTGGAACCTCCACGCATAAAGCCATCTTTTTCCATTGCACTATAGCACTTGTAGAGAGAATCCCATACTTTGGGCCCAAAATGAGACCATTTGAGTCAAATTTCAAATTGTCTTTCAAATGTATCATTGGCTGTAGACTTCCACTCATAGTCACGTAGTCATGTTATTTACTGGTATAAAAATCCCTTCTTAGCTAAGCACCAACAAACTATTGTGGCTTCATTTGCTATCTGATCACTCACCTTAGTTTGGGTATTCTGTGAACTTGAATTCTACTGCAAACTGCAATGCTTGTTATAAGTCATATGAAATTAGTTGCAATGATGACAAATTTTTGTTTCTAAAATTTAAAAAAATCATAATCTCTGGAAGAGTGCTCCTCTTTAGATCTCAAATTCCAAAGTTTTCATTTGGCTAAAAAGCAGGGACAGCTGACATGAAAACTTTGGTGACATCTGAGTGGAGTCAGAATAAGCAGACAAGGAAACGAACTGTTTGTTCTAAACTTTTTTGCTTTCTTCTTGGTGCTTGGGCATAAGATGGCAACTTGTAAACAATAAAACACCACCACATTTCATGTTACTTTTGTTCACATGCCTGCTGCTTTTATTTCACAGATTCAGTGAGCACATTGTGCATATTTGTCAAATCTGTCTGACCTGTATCATGCGCTAAAAGCAGAACGGATACCATATTTTGACTTCAGTACCATGTAAACCTTTATTCTTCAAATGAGCAATGAGACAGAGTGTGCAGTTGACTATACAAGTGGAATTTTCTCCTTGACAGACTTTATACATCTTAAGGGCAAACACTTACCTGAAAAAACAGTATCCTTGGTATTTCACAAGTGTATTGTTATAAAATGAAGCCAGTGTGTTCTCTTTGTCTCTAAAGGTAAAATTTCCCCACCAATCCTTGTTACTTTCTCCTTTCCAACCCCCACCTCCTCAACAAGCCCTCAGAATAAAAGGCAGAGACAGGGCTTGGGCACATGATAACTGATCAATACATATTTATTTAGAGAGCGAATGAAGTCTGAAATTCAGTTCAGGCTGAGTATGTCTTAGTGAGACAATAATTTTGTTACTAATTATAATTAATGTTCATTTAAAACATTTATTCAGTCATCAATTCCAATAAGATAAGCAATACATCTACCCCAGAATAATATTCTAGATATTAGTCAGAAATTACATTCTCAATCATAGGACATAGGTTTTCATTAATTCACTGAAGCCTAATTAGTTCTCAGTGGACATAGGGCTCAATGTCATTGATCCAGTCTGAGTGCATCTAAGGACAGTCCTCTCCTGAGGGCCTGGTCGGGTGATCAGTTCTAAAATAACAACCAATATGATTTGAGGAGTGTGCACTGACCTTTTCCAGACACGGGCACTGAGCAGCAGTTACACAAGCAGGTCCAGGGTGCTCCCCTTGCTCCCCTTCCCCCTGCCTTCTGAGGAGCACAGCGTGAGTTTTGTCCTTTTAGACGTAGGGTCGGGGTGGAGTGGTTATTCTGTACAAATGTTCCGCTTTTAAGAAGTTTGAGATTAGTTTGTTTTCTGGGTTAAGAACACTTTTTCCTTTTACTGGTTTTCCATGTGTTATTCTCTAAGATGGGTATTAGGAAGTGAAATAAGTCAGCAAAAGTAGAAATAGCCTGGAAAAAAAAATTCATCTGTAGATGAACAGTGACCACTCTTGGATTCTGATGTTTTTGTGGTGTATTCACTAATGACAAAACAAAAACAAACAAACAAAAACTCCTTCCCTTCTGAGAATGAGCATGAAGGGTACTGTACTATTCTATTCATTAACAATCATTATATCTCCCAGGAGCAGGACTCTGGCTTTCCAGCACCCAGGTTAGGAACTTCCTTAGCAAGGAATCTAACTTGTAACTCTCTCTAAGGACTCTCCAAATGGAAGTTTAAAGAAAGAGCCCTGCTTGCTCTTTTTTTTTTTTTTTTTTTTCTTGATTAATGCCCTAGGCTATGATATCAAACAGATTAAAGAGAATGGGAAAGAAGCACAAAACTATTCCAGCTTGTTGGCAGATTCAGAGAGCTCCATCTTCAAATCCAGCAAGTCCATTTGTATTAAGTGGTGGGGCTGTTACACTGTACTTGCCAAGCCCACTGCCAATTAGATACCACTATCAGCAATTTTCTTTTAATTTAAATAGGCAATTTAGGAACAGCAACTTTGAGGATTTTTTTTTTCAATTAGAATTCTCTTTTCTTGCCAGGATCGAGTTTGCTTTAAAATATATTGTCTTCTTTAAATATCTTCAGTTTCTATTAACTTCGGTGGCTTTAGCATGATGATCATGTAAAAAAAATCATTGTAGATCAGTTTAATAACATCTTAATCCACAAGTGCTCTCTCAGCCAACAATTGATAAAGAAAAGGATATATTCTTGGAGATTCACCAACCATAAAAGTAGTCTGTTTTCTGAATTTTTTTTAAGTGTCTGGTTCTAGTCCAAAGAACATTCTGGAAGGCACATAACAGAAATTATTTGATAAAGTAATCTTAGTGGACAGTGGTCATTGTGTAGGACCTGGCTTGCTAATCCAGTGGCATAAAAGGGGAAGAAAATAAGTTGTTTGTTGCTAATAAAAGATGTGCATTCACTACCGAATTGAAATATGACTCATTTAGCACATGGCATTGTATTTAAAATTATTATTTTCCCCCTGTATTTAGATCTTTCTCTGGAATCAAAGGACTCCAGCTGAAAGTTAACCTCCAACCCAATGATAACTACTTTTTCTATGTGAGAGCCATCAATGCATTTGGGACGAGTGAACAGAGTGAAGCTGCTCTCATCTCCACCAGAGGTACTTTCTCCTTTGTACACTGAGCTATTTCCAAGCGATTCCTTCCCTTTTACCACTCAGAGAAGATGTCCTAGAGGGCAACTTTATAAACTCCAAACCTACTGTCAGTGCTAGTTTTTTGTCATGAGGACACAAGGTTGGTCAAAGGTCAAGATATTTCTTTTGTTTTTCTGCTTTACAGGTTCTCAACCCTGGCTACCTATTAGCAATCAGTCAGGGTGCTTAAAAAATACTGATGCCCTGGCTCCACTCCTTAAGATCCTGAGTTAATTGATCTAGAGTTGGGCTCAAACATTTATGTTTTTAGAAATCTCTCCAGATGATCTTTTTTTTTTTTTTTTTTTTTTTTTTTTTTTTGACACAGAGTCTCGCTCTGTCTCCCAGGCTGGAGTGAAGTGGCACAATCTTGGCTCACTGCAACCTCCGCCTCCTGGATTTAAGTGATTCTCATGCCTCAGCCTCCTGAGTAGCTGGAATTACAGGCATGTCCACCATGTCTGGCTAATTCTTGTATTTTTTTTAGTAGAGACGGGTTTTTTTGCCATGTTGGCCAGGCTAGTCTCAAACTCCTGACCTCAGGTGATCCACCTGCCTTGGCCTCCCAAAGTTCTGGGATTACAGGTATTAGCCACTGCACCTGGCCTCTTGCAGATGATTTTTATTGGGCTCACAATGTGCTATACTTTGTGGGTATGGTGTGTGGATATGTGTGGTAGGTTGGAGATATTCTTTGAACTCTGTGCACAAGTTACCAGTCTTGTTCTGTTAATTGTTGAAGCCTGGCACATAGTTTGTGATAGTTAATGTTTGTTAAATGAATGACCAAGAGTAATTTATGGAAGTGATAAAACTATGCAATGTCATTTTTGGGAAAATACCTAGATGATGCCAACAAAAATATGTGTGTGTCTTTTGTGAAAGGAAGTAAAGAATGGAAAGATGACCATTTTATTATCTTATCCTAGACCCAGAGCTGGCACAATGTTGAGGGGGCACAGGTGATCTGCTTCCCCAGCGACATCTTGTGCTTGTGCCTCATTTGTGATATAGTCAGGGCAAGCCTGATGTTTATGAAGAGAAGACGCGATGGCTGCCTTCCCAGAAGTGTTCTCCCCACAGTTCCAATATGGTGCCTGTCCTCCCATTGTTAGAATCTCTCCTGTAGGTTATACCGGTGCATCCCCAAATTTTAATATGCACACAGCTTTCCTGAGGATCTTGTTAAAATACAGATTGGAAGTCAGGAGGGCTGCGGTGGGTCTGAGAGTGTGAATTTCTGACTAGTTTCCGGGTGATGTAGATGCTGCTGGTGCAAGGAGCACCCTTTGCATAGCAGCTGAGCGCTAATAGAGGGTACACCCTGAGGACATGCCTGCAGCACCAGCACCAGGTAGAGGTAACCAGCCACCAGCATCCATGAAGGCCTTATCATGAGTGAAGTTTTCAGTGTGGATCTGAAGACACTGCATGGGGGATTTTGATGTTAGGGGAAAGAGAGTCTAGGGTCTGAAATGTGGGGCTTAGCCCAGGGACATCACCGGTCCACATGGCTATGTTTTAATCCTACTTTCTCATCTGCAATAGGAACCAGATTTCTCTTGTTGAGAGAAACAGCTCATCCTGCTCTACACATTTCCTCAAGTGGGACAGTGATCAGCTTTGCTGAGAGGAGACGGCTGACAGAGTAAGTAGAAGAAGAAAGCACAAGTGGGCTGATGGCCCAGCAGTAGGGTCTTGGTTTTAGGGTGTGTTGCCTCAGGGTGGCCTCCCTGAACATATTCATGTTGCAGTGAACATGCCGGGCCGTGATCTCAAATATCAGTGTTCACACATCCACACTGTTTGGCTGTAGTTCCCTACTGAGGGATAGATAGTTCATCACTTGGAGAAAGTGTCAATATTTTTATTGGAAATATTGGCACAGATGGTTTTGTTTAAAACTGGCTATTTTAAGGTATGATCTCTGGTTCAGTGGAGGAAAAAAGGGTTCAGTAATTCTTTGATTATTTTTCTATAGCAAACCAGATATTGTATCAACCCTCTTAAAAAGGTATAGAGGAGGCTGGGCACAGTGGTTCACGCCTGTAATCCCAGCACTTTGGGAGGCCAAGGTGGGCAGATCATTTGAGATCAGGAGTTTGAGACCAGCCTGGCTAACATGGTGAAACCCCATCTCTACTAAAAATGCAAAAATTAACCAGGTGTGGTGGTGCAGGCCTGTAATTCTCAGCTACTTGGGAGGCTGAGGTAGGAGAATCACTTGAACCTGGGAGGTGGAGGTTGCAGTGAGCCCAGATTGTGCCACTGCACTCCGCCAGGGAGCGAGACTCTGTCTCAAAAAAAAAAAAAAAAAGGCATAGAAAAGAAGGACATTTTATTGAGTTTCTAGTTTCTGGCCACAGAATCTTGCCCTTATAGTAGCTCCCACAAAAGGAAGCATCAAAGAAAAGAAGAGGCAAAGGCAGAGGACAGGGTGGGGAAAGCTGCCTTGCAATTTGCCTGCAAGCTCTAGGGGTTGTTGTGCATACCAAAATGGTAAAATTGGAGAAGGTATGTGAAACTCTTGAAAACTGCAACCCACGTGAAGCACAGGCTGCTGATGCTGCTGACGTGCCCTGGTGCCGGTGGCTGGCAGGTGCTCCCAAGAAAACACTGAGCCAGCCAGCAGTGACTTGCACTGTTTCCCTGTCATGCTGCTATTTGCCTCTCTGTGGCCAAGCTTGGGTGTTACCTGCTCCTGGCTCTGGTCAAGGCTTCTCTGGACCCTGGCACCCTTTGATTTTATCTGTATAAAAGTACAGATAACTTGTGGGGCAGTTTGTCAACCACTTCATGATCGTCATCCTGGAGCAGAAGCCCCGCCCTCTGCATCTTGGAATCCCTCAAATCTAGCGTGGGGCCTGGCACATTGCAGGTGCTAAAAATATACAAATGAGTGAGTTCAGGGAAAAAAAGAGATTTGAGAAATGGATTGGGCTTTTCTGTCTTTTGGATTCCTCAAAACATCAAAAAGAAAAAAAATAGAGTAGAGGAGGGTAAGAGTTCACAGATAATAACTGATGATAACTGTAATGTGTTTTATAGAATTTTATTTATTATTAACCTGAAAATTAGCTCATAAATATCAGGATGCTGGGCTTTGCTCCAGGGTGAGGGCTTGTCAGTAGCCACCTCTCTGAAATGAGGTTGTTAGGTAAAGACATGAAAAGTGAAATACATTCCCTTGCATTAATCATTTTCTCATCTGTTAGAGGGGAGAGGGAGAGGTTGCTGACTGAATATTAATGCTGCTTAAATTAAAAATCCTTCCTTGCTGTCTCAGCCATTTCCAAGCAAAATTGAGCAATTCATGCAAACAGGGTCACCCATCAGAAGTTAAAAGTGCTTTGGTTCATTTCACAGAGGTGCTTGGAAAAATAGCTAAGGTGAGACAAAAACCTTTAACCAGCCTCTTAGGGGCACCTACTGCAGTTCAACAAGGCCAGAGTCTTGCAGACTGTTGACCACTAATCATACCTGGTTAATTACATTGCTCGGGCCAGCTCTAGCTGCCTTGTTGCTTAAGAGCTGCACCTCATTTGGTGGCTGTGTCCAGTAAGGTCAGGAGGTACTAGAACTTATGGTTAAGGTTTTGGAGATTTCTTTTTTGCAAGGTTTGGAAAAAAGCTATGCAAATTATGTTTCCTACCTGCTTCCCTTGTATTTATGAAGAGGAGTCGCCTTAAAGGCAGAGACTGCGGCATGTCTTTTTGACCTACTATTATTCTAGTTATTTCCTGATTCCCAGCTCTTTTAAGAGATGCAGCAGGCTGGGTGTGGTGGCTCATGCCTGTAATCCCAACACTTTGGGAGGCCGAGGTGAGCGGATCACCTGAGGTTGGGAGTTTGAGACCACCAGCCTGACCAACATGGAGAAACCCCGTCTCTACTAAGAGTGCAAAAAAAATTAGCCAGATATGGTGGCACATCCCTGTAGTCCTGGCTACTCGGGAGGCTGAGGCAGGTGAATCACTGGAACCCGGGAGGCGGAGGTTGTGGTGAGCCGAGATCGCACCATTGCACTCCAGCCTGGGCAATAACAGCAAAATTCCATCTCAGAAAAAGAAAAACATGCAGCATACAACGTGCATGTTGTATGTATGTGACAGGGGAAATATGTCAAATTCCTGCTGAGAGTCTAGAGAGTGCTGTGGTGATCTGGTTAAGGTTAGGGATACAATGAACAAAGGGTATCTTTAGTTAAATTCCAGCACTTTCCAAGGGCAGAATCCTGCTTAAACCGTGTGAGTTTGTGAATGAATATTCGTGTGCGCGAGATACAGGCCGGTGATTCCTGCACTAAGCATACTCTGATTGACTTTGCCCACAGAATCCCGTCAGTGCTGGGTGAGGAACTGCCTTCCTGCGGCCAGCATTACTGGGAAACCACAGTCACAGACTGCCCAGCATATCGACTCGGCATCTGCTCCAGCTCGGCCATGCGGGCAGGTACCCTGGGACAAGGGGAAACCTCATGGTGCATGCACTGCTCTGAGCCACAGAGGTAAGCTGGAACCCTGGCCCTCCCCTCTTTATCAAAATGTTATGCTTGGGTGTCCAGGCAGGGCTCTCTGAGGGACCTGATAAATAGCACCCACTTCCATGCCCAACTTCTGAGCCAATGAAGAAAGAAAACAAGAGCCAAGGCCAGGCACGGTGGCTCAAGCCTGTAATCCCAGAACTTTGGGAGGCCAAGGCAGATGGATCACAAGGTCAGAAGTTCGAGACCAGCCTGATCAACATGGTGAAATCCTGTCTCTGCTAAAAATACAAAAATTAGCTGGGCATGGTGGCACACACCTATAATCCCAGCTACTTGGGAGGCTGAGGCAGGAGAATCACTGGAACCTGGTAGGCGGAGGTTGTAGTGAACTGAAATTGTGCCACTGCATTCCAGCCTGGGCAACAGAGTGAGACTCAGTCTCGAAAAAAAAAAAAAAAGGAAAGAAAACAAGAGTCAAGCATGTGGAGACGAAACTGATTACTGAGGAAGTTGATTTTAGAGTGTGTGAATCATACCTGAGGGCAAGAGGGTTTCTTATATTAAACCCTATTATGAGGCAGACTTACCCAACCAGAGCCCAGGCCAGGCCAGCTTCCTAGCTCTACAAGGCAGAGTTGGTCCCTGCAGAATCAGAGAAGGATGTGCGTCTCTCTGGTAGCTAGTGAGTAAGAGATAGGGAAGAGGGAGGGGCTGCTGGGCTCTGCATCGCAGTTTTTCCTTCTAAATTCACCACAGGGTGGAGGGAGACGACAAGGGTAACGCTATAAGGAGTCCCCTCCAAGGAGAAGGAATCAGCAGGAGTGAGGAAGAAGTGGATCTCCAACACCTCCCTCCACATTGGTCCATATCAGGGGTTGGCAAACTGTAGCCCGTAGGCCACATGTAACCTGCTGCCTGTCTGTGTAAATAGATTTGTGGAAACACAGTCACGCTCATTTGTTTATGTATTGTTTTGCACTACCATGGTGGAGCTGACTGATGGCTGCCAAATCCTCAGATATTTACATCTGTCCCTTTACAGAAAAAGTTTGCCAATCTCTTTTCTATATTACCCATACTGTTTGGTTGGTTGATGTGAAAAGCCATTAGCCTGTGTTCGTCTCAGAGCGATTAGGCAGGCATATTATGATCTGAATATGCTCACAGAATGGTCTAATAGAAAGAACACTGGACTAGGAACCAGAAATCCAATTTTAGTTCTGGCTCCATCCTTGATTAGCCTCCTCTTGGTTGTTTGCCATAAGTGGGTTAACCCTTTGAGCATACCTTGTTGCTTCATCTCGCTCAGCAGGGGACAGTAAAGCCTGGCTCGCTACCTTTTGGGGTTGTGAGGATCACATGAAACTAGGTACAGGGAAGAGCTTAGGAACGGTGAAGTATCATAGAAATGTGAGGCATTATTCAAATGTAATGCTTTAAAAAGAAGCCTTCAGTGCTTGCAGGTTCCCAGAAAAGGCCCACAGATTGGGATTTTGCATATCTCCGGCTGCATATTTCTTCCTGCATCCTGCTTGACAGTTTGATTCTGAGATGGTTCCTTAGAGCACCATCTCCAAGCACTACTTAAAGTCACACATTTCATCAAGTCAGAGCAATTATAATTCATTGATATTCAGTGCTGTGCAGTGCTTAAGGACCCAGCCCCTGCCCAGAGTTTGAAATCACTCAAACTCAGGGTTTACAGTTAGTAGATTCAGAGCTGTAACTACCTATTAATTTCGTGAAAATGTCCTTACACCCTCAAATCTTGAAAAAAAAAAAAAAAAAACCAAAAAAAAAAAAAAAAACAACCCACACCAAGGACTGACCTCCAATAACAAATTCCTGGACTCTAGAAAACAGAATTGTACATTTTGTCGACAAGTTCCACTGACAGCCTTGGTCTTTGGCTCTTTCAGGCTGGGAGTGGGTGCCATAGATTCTGAGAGAAAGAATGTGTCCCTTTGTGTGGTCTCAGCACAGAGAGGTGGGGCTCAGGGCCCTCTTGTCATGCTTCCAGGGCTTCACATGGGGGCACCCTGGCCTCTGGGACTCTTGAGAATGCTCCTGTGGGAGCCCCTCCTGTCCTCTACTTTTTCTGGTTTAATGAATTGAAATCAACCTATATTATTCTTGATTCTACTCACAGAATCTGGGCTTTCAGATGTCACAATTGGGAAGGAGGCGTGAAGATCGTCTCAGGAGAGTCTGCTGGTTTCCTTCCTGTCCATTCCTAAACTTGCCATGCTAGCTCAAGGCTTCCACACCTCCTCTGCAGTTTCAGCAGCAGCCACCCAGTCTGCACCCTCACTTCGAGTCTCTACCCACTCACAACTGGGAAATAGTTCTAAAACATCATTTTCATCATGTCCCTGGTTTTTCTGCTCAAAGACCTACAAACAGATATCTAAGTGGTATCAGAACTTGAGTGGGACCACCTGCAGGACACAGCGAAGAGGGGAAGCCAGAAAGAATGTGGCCAGGCTGGGGGCGAGGAGCCCTGGGGGGAGTTACCACCAGTGTCCAAAGGGGTCTGCGCTGAGTGTGGGCCAGAGGTGGGATTCAAGGGAGTGGGGGTCCTCAGTCCACTGGGGGGAGGGGAGGCAATTCCAGGATCATGCAGGTGATCAGAGCAGGCTTCTGGATGATTCTCGTTTGAACAGAAACCAGTCAAGTCTCTGTTCAAAGCCAGGTAGGGAGTCAGGCCCCATGCAGACAGGCTTGGTTTCAGGCCAGAGTTGAGGTTAGTGGAAGAATGATGCGCTCTGCTAGAAATGGATACAGAAACAGGGCTGGTCAGGTTCTGCATCCTGCAGAACTGGTGGAGACAAGGATTCAGGGAATGCCTTCCTCACTTGTCCTCCAGGGCAGTGACTGGCTCAAGGAATGACCAGCGCTGGGCCTGCAGGGACTGGGGACCTTCCAATTAGGGGAGGAGAAATGGCGCATTTAGTCATTCAGAACCCTCTAGACCAGCGTTATGCAATAGAACATTCTGCAATAAGAGAAAAATGGTGCCACACGTGGCTAGTAAACACTTGAAGTGTGGCCAGTAGAACTGAAAAACTGAATTTTAAATTTTTGTCAACTTTAATTTTAATGGAAGTAGCCACACATGTCTAGTGGCTCCTGTATGAGACGGGGCCGGACTAGGGCCTGGCTCCTGACTTGCTTATCCATGTACCATCCTAAAAGTCACCCCCGTGTCCTGTCCAAACCCAACAGGCCAATGGTGACTTTCTCTGTCACATACAGGCTTTTTCGGCTACCTCACCATCACGGCTGCTGCCCTTACTAAGTGGATTTTTCTCTTTCTTTTTCATCTATTCAAGTCCTGCCTGTTCTTTCTGGCTGAATGTGAGCCCATGTGCTCCCAAAGCCTTCTGCAAGAGCCCACCTCACACTGCCAGTCTCCATCATTGCTACCTGAAACGTTTAGTCTGCCCTGCAGGTTCCAGATGTTGTAGTGTTCTGGCATCTCTCTCATTAGCAAGGCATTGAAAAGGTCTTTTATCAACTCAAAAGTCCCACTTATCTCCCCACCACCATCAGCCTCTGCCCTTCCACGTGAGCTGCTTTCTGCAATGAAGTTGCCAACTTGCCATCCCCTAAATACTCGCACTTGAGCTTCTGGGCCTTAAGACAGAGGTTGCAAGTCTTAAAGATCCTCAGCCCTCCCTGCTAGACCTGTCACTTACTCAGATTCTTAGGCCCAAACCACCCTGGTGTTGCTGTGCTCCCACCCCTCCAGCCTACGCATCCCTAGATCTTTCTCTCATCTCTTTTCCTCCATCTCTCATTCCATCCCTGCCCTGACTTTTGGGGCCGCATTCTCAGTTTCTAAGACTACTAGGAGAAAACCCCAAACTGGTGTTATCTTTTTGCATAGAGCAATTGAGCTTTTCTGGTCAGCAATTTCTCCTTCCCAGCCTTGAACCTTTCCCTTCACAACCCAAACAGGTTCATTAAATGTGTTTAGTCAACTTTAAGATCTGTGCTCTGGGAGCCATTCTCAGGCCTGGTCCGAGTTTCAAATGCGGCAGTTTTTCCTTCCTGCTCCATATGATGTGGGATCCCAGTGGGCCAGGACAGTGCTTCATGTCCTTCACATCCCCCAGAGCATCTAGGAAAGTGCTGGATACACAGATATGCGCAAGGAATAGTTGTTGAATTGAGTTTGTCCGAATGAAAGAGAGGAATCCAAGGCAGCCCCACTCGCGGCAAGGCTGCAGAAAACCTTGAGAAAATGTAAAGGAAAGTTGGTTTGGGGAAGGGGGAGTGGGAACAAAGGATGAAGTTGGCAAAAATAATGAAATATTTCTGAAACTTCATAAAGGCCCTTATGTAAGTTACCTATAAATTTTTAAAACTGTAAAATTAATACATTGTATGGAAGGCAAGCCTGCGGTACTTTTAAAAATACATGGCAGCCTCAAAGGAGTTTTATTCAAAAGAATGACACGCCATGAATGCGGTAGTTAAAACATGTGGGCAGCTGGGAAAGAATTAGAATGTGGAGCAAAATCACAAGGGAGGTATATGTTGGTTATTCTGGGACTGCCTCCTAATGCAGAAGGAGCAAAATTATTAAACACCCTCATCTGTTGGGATGAGCTCTGCATTTCAGCATCCAGAAGAGATGAAAGTAGTGGGGACAGCATTATTGCAACTCCTTATTGTGAAGTGGAGTTACTAACTGAAAAATTGGTTACTCCTAAGTGACTTTCCTTATCAAGTTCTTTGAGATTTCCAGAGTTTTACGTTTCCCATTCTCTTTCATTTCAGATACACATTTTTCTACAGTGGCATCATGAGCGATGTTCATGTTACTGAGCGTCCAGCCAGAGTAGGCATCCTGCTGGACTACAACAACCAGAGACTTGTCTTCATCAATGCGGAGAGTGGCCAGCTGCTCTTTGTCATCAGGCACAGGTTTAATGAGGGCGTCCACCCTGCCTTTGCCCTGGAGAAACCTGGAAAATGTACTTTGCACCTGGGGATAGAGCCCCCGGATTCTGTAAGGCACAAGTGATCCTTGGCTTTCAGAATTTGCAAGAGCAGCAATTTAAATTTCAGGGGGCCTGCTGTTCATTCCTTTGGATGCTATACATTATTCCAAAAGTCTCCCACACATTTGCATTAATGATGGCTGCATGCATAGCAATCAGCACGTGAACAAAATCAACAAGAAAACCTTGACTTTACAGAGCAGAGTGTGAGTAAAGAGAATGAAAACAACAGCCTTCACTCTTTGGTTTATATGTGTTTGAGTTCTTTCCTAAATTAAAAGGTCTACACTTGAGTTGGGACACAAAAGAGAAAAGTGGACTTCCATCTGTTTTATTGGTAAAGGAAATCCTCTGATGGACAGGTGGGAGAGAAGGAAGGTTGCGCTGGTAAGACATCTCCTCTGACAAAGAGACATGGACGCTTTCCACAAAATGTCACCTTACTGTACCAAAGGATGATGAATCCTGATCATTAGAAAAAGTGTTTTAGCTGATTTAAATTTATAATGAACACTTTTGTAATAATGTATACTGTAGAACATACGTCTCTCTTCTCTAAAAGTTTAAATGTAGAAAAGTGCTAGATATTAGAAGTTTCCATTTTGTTAAATAAATGGTTAGAGTCTATAAAACCAGTCATGTTGTATGAACTTATTCCCTGTAACTTACTAGTCTGGCATCTCTGGAGCAAGACAAACTGCAGAGTAAAACTCATCACACTTCTTTGGGGTGCGCTACTATTGATTTTCCTGTGAGAATTGTATACATACACAAACACTTTAATCACTCTGACCATAGTTACAGTCAATTAACAGAAGCTGGGAATCTCTTTTTACTAAAATTAAGTAGTCATTTTAAGATGTTGAATCCCTCAAAATCTTTCTAAAATATGTGTGCAAAGTGGATACATCTAGAATGTATATTGAGATGATTGTGCTTGTCTCCTGTAATGTAAATGTGTTGATCACACTTGTAATTTTAAAAAAACACTTTAAAACATTTATTCCGATTTTTTCTTTCTTTTTTATTTTTTTTCTTTTTCTTTTCTTCTCTCTCTCTCTCTCTCTCTTTTTNTGCTCTTCTGCCCAGGCTGGAGTGCACCATCTTGCCTCACTGCAACTTCTGCCTCCCAGGTTCAAGCAATTCTCATGCCTCAGCCTCCTGAGTAGCTGGGACTACAGGCATGCGCCACCATGCCTGGCTAATTTTTGTATTTTCTTCTTTAGTAGACACAGGTGTTCGCCATATTGGCCAGGATGGTCTTGAACTCCTGACCTCAGTTGATCCACCTGCCTCGGACTCCCAAAGTGCTGGGATTACAGGCATGAGCTACTGCGCCCAGCCCAGATGTTTTCTTGAATTGAGAAATAATATCCTTCTTTCTGAATGGATTCTAAAATCTCTTGTTTAATAGCTAGAAAATCCGAACCGGATCTGTAACTGCCTTACTAGAGCCTGTGGAGGCCATCACCGCCCTGATTGCAATTTCAGCAGTTGCTGGCAAGATGGAGTCTTCGTGAAACTGGAGAAGTAACTTGCTGCTTTGCCGAGAATGCTAGCTTCACTTTTTCAATCCTTGAAAATGTTATCTTCAGGTTCTGACTGCTCAGCCACCCGTGGCCATTATTACTGTTGTTTTTTTTGTTTGTTTTTGGGTTGTTTTTTTTTTTTTTTTTTTTTTTGCTGTGACTGTATAATTACATGAACTGTAGAATTTGTCTCAGTTTGGGTTCCTCCAAAAGTAGACAAACTTCAAGATTCAGTGCCTGTTGTTTACCTAGGAGTTATTCCAGGAAGAACATTTGAGAAGTGAGGAAAGTCAACAAAGGGCATGTGTTATGAGTGGGTTATTACCACTGTGGGCAGCTGGGCTCACCCCTGCTGGAGGCCCCTCTGGAAACCACACGGAACATGCCAGTAGCTGGCACTGAACCATTCCTGCCCAACCCCTATTGTTGAAGGTGGCCTGGAGTCATTCCCACCCCCCACCTTTCCCAGCTGCATTTCCTAGTCGTGAGACAGCCCTCAGCAAGAGTAAATGAGAAACACAGACACCTGACAAGGTATGTTGAAAACTGCGCATGCACCCTCGCTAGCAGAGGATAAAGGGGACTGAGCGTCAGCGGCATCTACCATCAGGTTGGAAGCAGCTCTGGTATAAAGGAGAAAACCACCATAATGGGAAGAACTCGGTTTGAATCTTGATTGAGCCCCTACTAGATTAATTGCTTCGGGCAATTCAGATCCTATAGTTATGCCTTTTTTCAGGATAATTGTAAACACCAGGTTAAATGAGCCTATGGACTAGCAAAGCATTTTGTAGTTTATATGACAACATGACAAAGGACTCCAGAAATCCTCTAAGTCCAGCCTTCCACTAGGTCCCCAGAGAGTGACCCTCCTGTCTCTGACTCTGTGGCAAGGGGACGGTGGAAGGTAGGGCTCTGGGGTCAGGAGATCCACGTGTAGGCAGCCTTTGTCTGCTGATTGATTGATAGGCGATTTCTTGGTTGGTCCTTGGGCATTATTCTAGCACAGACAGGTAGAACTAAATTAATACACTTTCCACACATGGTCAAGCAATGTTTTTCTTCCTTGGTCCTTCTTTGATTTTCATTTTCCCTTCCTTTTGTCCTTCCTCTTCATATAACACAGACCTCAGAGGGAGGGAAGGAAGTTAGCAAATTTTGGTCAAAATTGCTCCTCTGGAAATCTGTCAATGGTGTTTATTAATAACAGGTACAGCACATGAATTCTCTCTTTTAGTCCTAATCAAAACCTTGCAGAATAAAAATGGTTGCTATTTTATACATGAGGAAACTAGTCTCAGAGCAGTTAAATAACTGATCTTGTTCACAGTCACAGCTGGCAGAGCGTGGATTTAGATACAGCTCAGATTCTGATGTGAGACTACAGTGATTATATTTTGCTTCATTCCTTACATAGATCATTTCCCCACATATGTGTGGTGCGTGAGAATTACGGGTGTGCACACACATGCATGCATACATTTTCTCTTCCCCCTGGAACTGACTTCCTTCCTGAGCTTCTGTTTTGTTGTTGGTGCTGCCATAACTCTTGAAAGACATGAGGTTACAATACCAGTGACCTTAATTTATGCCCAGCACCATTTATGCCCAGCACTATTTTCACACGGTTGTTTGAGAGTTCAAAAGAGTCTATAACATTCTGTTTGTGGAGAAAATACTTTATCATATAGAAATACAGTGCTGCTTCTAGAAGATATGGGGTCAAAATAAAGGAGTTTGTGGGGTGGGGAAGAAATGAGAATTAACACTATGGCCATTATCTGTTTGCATACACACCTGGCAACCTTAGATGGACATATTTGTTATTGAAGTCAGAAATATTTTTCTATTAGAGCAAACCAGAACATGTTCCTGTTATCTGGAGATAGTTCCTTGAAGTCCAACAGTATTTATAATATTGTACCTCATCACACCCACTTACTAAGATGTGTGCTTAAAGTCCAAACACAACACTCTCCCATCAGAAGCATCCTTAAGGCCTCCGAGGTCTGTATCTGAAGTCCTTCTCATCCTCATAGCGTTCATTACTCATTAATCATCCCAAGTGTTGAGTTGCTGAAAGAACCCATAGGACTCAAACAGTTTACATTGGTGGAACAGCTTTATTACAGGCAGAGGAAACAGTACAGCCACACAGAAGAAGGACAGGTGTGGAAAGGGCTCCTGAGGTCTCAGGTGCAGGCCTCTGGCCTCCCACTACTGGGTTACATGGTGTGAACTCTTGTCTCCAGGCTTCAAACTGCCAGCAGTGTACGTGAGTTGCAGCTTGATGCCAGGAAGCTCAACTTTTGTCTGTGGTGGTGATGGTCTCTCATAGAATGTGAGCTGGTCACAGACACTTTCTAGCTATCCTTTATGTGTGTAAAGGATAACCTTTGAAACTCACCTTCCTCACTACCACAGGTGCCACCAAAACCAAGTGCAACATCAATCCAATGATTATTACTAAACAGTGCTAACAGGCAGATACACCCTGCTCTGAAACGGGTGGATCCATCATATAGAATGTCACTTATCATCAATTAATAGATTCCATGGGCTAGGCACGATGGCTCACACCTATAATCCTAGCACTTTGAGAGGCGAGGTAGGTTGATTGCTTGAGACCAGAAGTTTGAGATCAGCCTGGGCATTTGGGTAAAACCCTGTCTCTACTAAAAATACCAAAAATTAGCCAGGTGTGGTAGCACTCCCCTGTAGTGCCATGTTCTTGCCACTGCACTCCAGCCTTGATGTCAGAATGAGACCCTATCTCAAAAAAAAGGATTCCATGTCATTGTCCAAGCATCAGTAGCTCTCTAGATATGCATATGACCAATTAACATCAGGTGAAATTAACTCATGCTAAGCACTTCTTGGCTTGAATTCCTGAGCCCAGCTGCTAAGGGATGTTGCAGTGTGCCTAAGAATACTATTAGGAAGAGCTGAGTGCCTCTGCTGCCAATAGCCAACCTCCCTAGGTCCTGATTTGGTGACTTCTAGGGCTGGGGAGTGAGTCCAGGCACATCCCTGAGCTGAGTGAAGTTGGAGTTGATTTCCACCCCCTCACAGTGCTCAGGAGGGAACATACATCCTGGGCTGTTTTTAGAGCAGGAGATCAGTGTATCTCGTTTTCCTTTATTACCCTCAAAGTCTGCCTCTCTTTCGTGTGCCCCTATTTTGGTCCTAAGTGAACTCCCTTTCTAGGCCTAACTTGTTTTTCTATTAGTATCTGTAATTTCAGATCCCCAGGTAATATATGAGCTTTATAATAGTTTGAGAATAGTTAAAAAAAATGAGGACTATTTGGCTTGGAACAAAAATAACTTAGGGAAGGATATAAGAGATCTTCCGGCTGGGGGCAGTGGCTCACACCTGTAATCCCAGCACTTTGGGAGGCTGAGGTGGGTGGATCACAAGGTCAGTAGATCGAGACCATTATGACCAACATGGTGAAACCCCGTCTCTACTAAAAATACAAAAATTAGCTGGGCATGGTGGTGCGCACCTGTAGTCCCAGCTACTTGGGAGGCTGAGGCAGGAGAATTGCTTGAACCCAGGAGGCGGAGGTTGCAGTGAGCCGAGAAGCCGAGATTGTGCCACTGCATTCCAGCCTGGTGACAGAGTGAGACTCCATCTCAAAAAAAAAAAAAAAAAAAAGAAGAGGTCTTTGAAGATTTGAAGAGCTGTTACACAGAAGGAATTAAGCTTATTTTGATTTTTCTACTAAAAGCAGTGGGTGGAAGTCCCACCAATGGGTAGAAGTTGAGGAATTCAGTTGAAGAGAAGGAAGAGCACCCATCAGTGACAGCTGGCTAAGGGGCATGTTGCTTAGCAGGTCATGAGCACTCAGGCAGAATCATCAACTGTCTGGAATGTCAAAGGGTAGATTCCTGCTTTGGGCTGTAGATTGATGGTGTTTAAACTGTGTTTCTGAAGTAGTGGGATTCCATGGAGGTGCCTGAGGGTCAATGTGGGATCCAACAGGAAGGCCAAGTGGGCAGAAATTCAAACCCCTTGCTCATTTCATCATGGTAGCTTAATTTTTTATCTGTATTACACATTGGGTTCCATATTAAAATTTATTTGATAAAAAGCCTTCTGTG